ATTCCCACCAAAAYGAGAATGAACTTGGGGACTGTATTTGCTGGGGGTTAGGGGAAGCAAAATTAGTTCTCCCACACAGAAAAGCAAAAATTTCCTCTCCAATTAACCCCTTTACCTGGCCTTGTACTACAGCTTATATTAATGCCCTTAGTTTAAAATTTCAAAGCATCAGAAATAATAAACATTAGGCATTGGCTCAGGGATAATTTACACAAAGTGCAGGGAAGGCAGGCTCTGGCAGTGCCTGTTTTAAGACATTTTGATGGGGTGAGAGATGCTCCCAGTAAAACACCCAGATGAGCTCTGTGTCACCTGAGGCTCTGAAGGAAGAAATCTGCATTAATATTTGCCAGGAATTGTGAAGGAGCCAGGACCAAGGCTGGCCATGACCCTGTGTCCTCTGAGCACACGAGGAAAGTTTYCCTGAATTTGGCTGCCTTGGGATAAGGCTGTGGTGGGGGGATGCTCTGCCAGAGGAAGGAATGAGCAAGAATGAGGCCTTGGGGACAAGATGTAGGATTGAAATAAGCTCTGGAAGGATGTGTAGACCAAAATTGGTAATTTTGATATTGTTATTTTTATGTGTAAAAACAAGCCCTGGCACAAGAGGGTAAGTTTGGGTGAATAATTTTTATTTGGAAGGTTATTCATGGGTGAGTTGTCTGATTCTCTGGTGTTATTTCTGCTTTGCTGTATCCCAAAATGGATAACAAATACATAAAATTAGAGAATATCCTATAGCTGATAGTAAATAATGGAAAAAGTCTGTGGGGGAAATTCATTGAATCTTTAGAACTTTTATCTGAATTTCCTCAAATAGTATCCCCTTTCCCCAAACAACAAATGACATGATCTGCACAACAAACCAAAGTCAACATTTGGAAACATTTGGAACACRGAAACATCTCCAAATCAAGGTCTTTGTTCACCACTGAAAGCACAATAACCCTTCTTCCAGACATAATAAAATCAAAACTTTTCGTCTCTGGATGATCATTTTTGATRTTTTTAAAAAGTAAACCCAGTCTCAGTCAGGGAAGCACTGCAAAGTGTTTGCAAAAGCAAGGGGCTGGTTTTGTCAAAGGGAGGCCAATGCCAAAGTGCCCGTGGAKTGAAATCCTAAAGAAAACAGCCACTGGAGCAATGAGCTGTAATCTTCCTTAATCCATAATATCTGCTGTTGACAGATGCATACAGAGTGATTAATAGGATGCTAAAAAATGTTAACAAAGCAACAGGGACCTGSGGACTGCTCTGAAAATTTCCTTATCACACTTATAAATTCACCAGGGGTACCTTCATTACAATGGATGACAAAACATATGTTTTTCTCTCCCAATTTGCTGGCAGGTCTAATCGAAAGTGTCATCAGACTTTCAGGAATTGGGGAGTGGAAATGAAACTCCTGTTCTGCTCTTCCCTTCTGCTCCTTCTTGGAGACGAGAAGAAAAGCCCCACTGGGACTCTGCCATCTCACATGTTCCAAAATCCCTCCTCAGGMACGAGATCTTTCCAGCTGGAGCTTCTATTCCAAACGTTTATCTTGGAGGGATTTGTTTCTTTCTTTMTTTATTTGTTGTTAACAAGGAATTAAAGGAGAATAGGGGATGAACAGCRCATTTTCTGCCTAAGAGGTCTTTTCATCATTTTTAGCAAGATTGAAGTTTCTATTGGTACTTCAGTAAGGGAGTGGAATGGCTAYGAGGAGTGATGCTTAGTAATAAAGRTATTTTTAGACTTGAATTAGATATTCATCCTCAGTCTGGAGGATATGACCTTCAAAAAGAGATTAGTTTAAAAAGCAGGATGATAAACCCCTTTATAGAGCTGTGACYAGGAGGTTGTTATTACTACAAAGGTCTCCAGAAAGGTGAGTACAATCCCACACATATGATTTGAGGGCAAATTTTGCCTACACAAGTTTTTTGTGGGCAAATATTGAAGGGGGAGGAAAAAAAGTCCAGCCTCTTTATTTTAGCCCCCTGTTGAGAATAGGTTTAATCTTTTCAGTAGATGCCCCAGTATTTCACTGAGCTTGTTTTTTAATGAGATTATTCAGAAATCAGCTACTAGATTTTGCAGTTCCTATGCTACCTTCACTCCCCTGATGATATCCATGAGTAGAGAAGCCTTAACACTTCAAAGGCTTCATTCAGCCCCCAGGACTGTGTATAGGCCCTAAATAAAACTAAAATTATCCATCCCTGATGTTATAAAGAGCTGCTCTCTGTAGCTCCTTTTTTTAGGGGGCTGTAACACACAATCAGAGCTGTGCACTGAAATGGGGATAAAACCTGAAACTGCTCCGTGTRAAACTGTTCAGTTTGGGTTTGTAGGTGTTGATTCTACTGCAGGGAACACAGAGCAACTTTTACTGCATGGCTCTGCACAAAATCATCTCTCTGGGCTGGAAACAAGTGTGGTGGTGACAGAGCAGGGACATGGACTGGCTCCTCACTCCTCACTGACTGAAAAATGCCAGGAAACTCATTTCGGAGCAGGGCTCCTCCTGGGCTGAGCTCAGCAGGGTTAATTTGGCTCAAAGCTAAGGCTGAAGCAGCCTCTGAGTCCTGCCATCCCCTTCCTTGTGTTTCCCTGCCCGGGAACTGTCACTCCTGTTCTCTGTCCCCAGACCCAGCTGCAGCACTTCAGCCA